ATTTGGTCTTATTAGTCATTGTCAAGAGCAGATAATTCAGAATCAGATTGACCGATACCTGAATTATTCCTTTCCAAATTATTCTATGTTATTTAGTTTTTAGTCAGTATGACAGTTTCAAAACAATCTATCCAACATTCATTTTGCTATGTTTCAATAAGTAAACCTTTTAACTGTAATTTTCTTCAAAAAGGGGCATAACTTGAGGACAGTGTCGATCATACCACAAAAACAACCATGGAATATGAATTTGTGTATAGAAGTTCAGCAAATTCTGCACCATGACAGGAAATAAAGTACCAAACAAGAATTTGAAATTTGATCAGATGTTCCTTGCCTTATTAATCTTTGAGTAATCCTCTCTCGAAAATGGCTTTAAACGAGCAAAAAACATTTTTAGAAGCGATAACTATTAGGTCGAATTGTAAATATCAATTATTTCCACAAGTTTCTTTTTTACTCATGCAAAGATTAAGAAAATTCTATTCACTAGCTTAGATTTTCCTTCTTTGTCTATGTTAATAAAAGACAAAATTTAATGAAATATGTCTTTACCTTTAAAACAAAACAAAAATACAAAAAATGCCCTGTTTTATGTTGTTACTTTTTTACAAATTAATAGAACTTTTTTCACATACAATGGACTACAGTGAGTTATATAGTTTAATATCTCACTGATAAAATATTAAGTCACGAGGTAAAATCGATGACATACATTATGTCGTCATTAACGCCTTCCGTGTCTCAATAATTCCAGGAAAAGAAAATAGTAAATCTTGATGACCCATGTATCCGGAGAATTTCATTAAAGCAATGTCTGCAAATTTGCGTATCAATAAAATGGAATACTAGATCACATGTACTTCGCAATTTGCAAGGGCGGTTCAAATTGCTACACATTTTTATATCTTTATTTGATAGTTTCACTGATATCGTTATTTTCTTTAAGACGTAGAAACAAACATAAAATCAAAGAAAATGGAGATCGAATTAATTTGACAAAACCAACATGACAAAACCAACATATAATGCGTTTGCGACCAGCATTGATCCAAACCAGCCTGCGCAGTCTGATCAGGATCCATGATGTTAGCTATCAGTTTCTCTACTTGTAATAGAGTTGGTAAGCGAACAACATGGATCCTGATCAGACTGCGCGGATGCGTGCTGGTCGCAATAAAATAACGTTCCCAGGATAAAGGTATGATGACTTATAATACAAAATACTAAATATAAAATGTTTCCTTCTCTACAAGCTAGAACGTGTCGCTGGTTACTAGTAATATGATATCAAAACAAACTAAGAAAACTGCCGCCTCGTTTGCGGCATCGATTACTTTGTTAAAGATGGCGCCTTTGTGAACACCTTTAATCAATCGTTCAGTTATTATTAGTTTATTATTATATATATTTTCTTATACAGCGGAACGTAGGCTTATAAAAGAAAACATTTTTAAACAAATAAAAATTAAGAAGAAAAATAAATCAGAATATTTTGAAAATTAAAATGCTATAAATATATACACAGTCCACATGTTATTTTGTTTGTATAATAAATGACTGAAATACCAATTGTTCTACCCCTGTACAAACATCATATTCATATTTTAACACAATATAGGTAATTTTCAGTGGAAAATAAGATTAGATAAAAATCACTCGATCTGAAACTACAAAAATGTCTTGACTATTAAAAAAAATCCAAATTTTCATATAAGTGAGTCATAAAAAGGCTGCATAAAGACAAAATATTCTATTTGAATTTCTTCATTTTCATATTTTTCAAATGATGTAGTTCACCGTATGCACTATTCTGAGTGATAGAGGGGTTGGCTTGGTGTAAAGGTATCAAGAATCTAATGTGGGAACATCAGTGTTCACATATATCTACTTAGACATGCTAGAAATGCTAGACTTGCATATTCATTTAGACATGCTAGACTTGCATATTCATTTAGACATGCTAGACTTACATATTCATCTAAACATGCCAGACTTCATATTCATTTAGACATGCTAGACTTGCATATTCATTTAGACATGCTAGACTTGCATATTCATTTAGACATGCTAGACTTGCATATTCATTTAGACATGCTAGACTTGCATATTCATTTAGACATGCTAGACTTGCATATTCATTTAGACATGCTAGACTTGCATATTCATTTAGACATGCTAGACTTACATATTCATCTAAACATGCTAGACTTCATATTCATTTAGACATGCTAGACTTGAATATTCATTTAGACATGCTAGACTTTTAAATCTATTTAGACACACTAGACTTGTATACTTATTTAGGCATGCTAGACTTTTAAATCTATTGAGGCATGCTTTACTTTAAAATCTATTTAGACATGCTGCACTTTCGTATGTTTTTAGACATGCTACACTTGTGTATCTATTTAGACATGCTAGACACTCATATCTATTTAGGCATGTTACACTTGCACATATATTTAGACATACTAGACTTGTACATTTATTCAGACATGCTGCACTTTCAAATCTATAAAGACATGTTAGACTTTCATATTTGTTAAGGCATGCTAGGCATTCATATCTATTCAGACATGCTAGACTTTTATATCTGTATAGACATACTAGACTTACATATTTATTCAGACATGCTGGACTAAAATATCTCTTCAGACATGCTAGACTTTCATATCTTTATAGACATGCTAGACTTACATATTTATTTAGACATTCAAGACTTTCCATACTGGCACCACCCAAAAAAACATGCCGATGAGCCTAGTATGGTTCTAATTCATGATATCGGCTGAGACCACAAGTCTATAGAATTATGAGCTTACATACATTAGACTGGCTATTAAATGTAGGCCGATTGTAGGCAAATGATATGCCAAAGTATAGAAGGTAAACTTTTACGTCTTAATGTATGTACGAGTATGTGTAGTGATTGGCATAAATATTTACGGACTGAGATAAAAATAGAAGAAAAATGTAAAAAATTGGTAGTGAGGTGAAGCCACAAGAAAAAATGTAAAATTTATGACTGAGACAAAACTACAAGAAAAAAATGTAATCATTTAGACAGAGATAAAACTACAAGAAAAATGTAAACATTCGGACTGAGAAAATAAAATACAAGAAAAAATATAAACATTCGGACTAAGATAAAACTACAAGAAAAATGTAAACATTCGGACTGAGAAGAAAACTATGTACAAGGAAAAATATAAACAATGGACTAAGATAAAACTACAAGTAAAAATGCAAACATTCGGACTTAGATGAAGTCACGAGAAAAAAAATGTTAAAAATCGGTCTTAGATAAAGCCAGAAGAAAAAAGTGTAGATATTCGAACAGAGATAAAACTACAAGAAAAATGTAAACATTCGTAATGAGGTAAAGCCACAAGAAAAAATGCAAACATTCGGACAGAGATAAAAACTACAAAAGTGATGTAAACATTCGGACTGAGATAAAACTACAAGAAAACACTGAAACCATTCGGACTGAAATAAAACTAAAAGAATAATGTAAACATTCGGACTGTGATAAAACTACAAGAAAAGTGTAAACATTCGGACTGAGAAAAAAAAAACAACAAGAAAAAATTTAAGCATTCGGACTAAGATAAAGCTACAAGAAAAATGTAAACATTCGGAAAGAGAAAAAAACTACAAGAAAAACTCTAAACATTCGGACAGGGATAAAACTACAAGAAAAATGTAAAGATTTGTAATGAGGTAAAGCCACAAGAAAAATGTAAACATTCGAACAGAGATAAAAACTACAAGAGTAATGTAAACATTAGGACTGAGATAAAACTACAAGAAAAATGTAAACATTTACAACCATGTGGCGAAATCAGAGAAAAATGAAGAATTGTTTAAACTTAAACTCAGTCCGTACATATAGATATTGCGTCACAAAAATATTTTAATTAAGCTGTGTCAAATAAAAGCACTTTTATTTTTCCAGAATAACATAAAACATAATTCAAAATCTGAAAACATATATACAAATATCATTTACTTTGGCAATCAAAACTGAAAACAAGCAATGACTACATTCTTTCCCAGTCTGACGTCATTTACAAATGTTTTATTCATTGGAAAAAAAAGTCCGTACTTTGAAATAAAATGCATGGTATGTTATCGGTCGATTGACTACATACTCAAATTACTTTAAGATAAAACTACATGAAATATTTCTATTTGTAACACGAAAGAATAATCATGTTTATTCTTATAACGTATTTGAACGATTACTATATCGGTTACGGTAACGATGTTAATAACAAAATCGACTGTGGCAATGACGTTAAAGATGTACAACGGTATCTGTAGCAGTAACGATGTTAATAACGAAAACAACTACATGTGACAACGATATCTATATCGGTATATCGGTAACGATGTTAATATGAAAACATTAACGAAACGACTGTGATAACGATACCTGTGACGGTATTTATGTAGCGATTTTGATAACGATGTTGATAGCGATAACGATTATTATGACGATAACGATATTGCTAACGATAACTTTGGCTGTGACTAATTGATCATAAAGATAATGTTTGATATAATACTAGCGATTGGTGTAAATATTACAATTATGACAACAATAAATGATTTTAGAATTTTAATATGACCCATAAGGAAAGATGTTAATAACATTCAAAACAGAGATATATCTATAATTTTACTTTAATCTTAATATGTCCTTGAAAATTATCACCCAAGAAAGAAAGAAAGAAAAACAGAATTAGATACATCGTATATAGAGACAGTTCAATAACCTTGGTAAAAAGCCTAATCAGGTTCTAAGTCATTTCTAATAGTATATTTTCAAACGAACGATATAATTTGTAAAATGTTCATACTTGCACTGTAATAATATCTATGTACCAAAATATTTAAGATAATCAAAGAAATAAATTTCGAATAACAAAACTCTTTACTTATACAGAAAAAAATAAAGAAAATTGAAGAGAAGAAAATAAACAAGCACCCACCTGTCTTCCAATAAAAGAGAATTTGAATAAGATATTGAAAATTTGTTCATATGTTCCTTTTATATAACTGCCCATCAAATCATATTTTTATGTACAAAGAGTACCTATCAAAACAAGCATCTGAGAATTCTTAGAATTAACTGTCAATTATGTCCTTAAAGAATAATTGCTTTCGCTCCTAGATACTGAATCAGTCGATGGAATGGTCGCGATGTATTTGTTGGCGACAGATAGCACGCGATCACGCGAGCACTCGATTTATATGAGGGCATTATTCAGGATTTAGAACTTAGACAACATTAAATATTCATGTTGCATTCGAATTCGAAGCAGCTGCAAAACGATGAATATTTTACGTATGTTTCTTGAGTGACCATTATTTAATTAATAATTATTATTGATAAGATTGTTTATGTGTGTCTTTTTGCGTTATATAGTGTGGAAAATGTTTATTGAAACAGCAGCTAGTTGTTGATAATTTGAAATGTTCTAGAATATCAATTCACTAATATTTTCATTTTTTGTTTGTATTTGCGTCATTGCAGATAATAAATGTCATGAAAGATTCGCTCATCTTTTTTTTTACATAAGTTTAAGTCTTTATATTATGATGGTCGAGTGGCTAACGCGTCGGACTAGTGATCTCACGATCTCTGGCCATGTGGGTTCGAACCCTGTTCGGAGCAAGCCGTTGTTTTCTTGACCAAGAAACTTTACAATATAATTGCTCAGTGCTGGTAGGTTCCAGGAACGAATTCGAGCGTGTATCGATAAGCTTATAGTTTCCTTCTCAATCGAGTACGATTTCAAGAGTTGTACGATTTAAAACGAGAGCATGATGTTTGCTGTCTTGTAAGATATCATGACCTACAGTTATATCATTGATTGATTGTATTGACTATTTTAACATTAAAGAAATCTCGTCTGAGCATTAACTTTGTCATATTCATATGTAATATATTTCAGTAACTATATGCCGATCATCGTGAAATGAACTAAGTATGCGAGTTAAACCTGCCACCAGTATAGGGTCATGGCAGCTTGCAAGATCATGCTGTCTGGGCATACTAGATACTGTTTCTACATGTATGCCACTTGTTTCTATTTTGATATTAAATCCTTGAATGCTCCAAATGGATTGTTCAAAATTCTTATCAGGGCAAATCGATTGGAACTTTAGTAGAAAAAAAAACTCTTTATTTACCGAATGTATAGCTAAATGAAGACAATACATCAAAGACAAAAAATAACACATATTGTTTAATTTGATCTAAAAATAACTTAATTATAAGGTAAAATGATTTGACCTTTACAAAACATCTTTTCATAAGTCTAAATTTACTTATGCATTATATTGACAACACTTTTTCATTGGTCGTTTATATCATTGGCGATAAAATATTTTCTTTTTTTTTTTCCGTGACAATATTTGTCATTCTGTATAAGTTGACCATTTGGATCACATGCTGGTTAAAATTGAAAGTGCCCACCCTACCCATCCATTTAACATTTAGATACTTTTTTGTATGAATGAATACAAGTATTTGGACATTGGTTCATTCATTGATGTATTTCAGTGTTTAAACTACAACATGTGTTTATGTACTGATTAATTAGTTGATTAACATTTATGCTATTATGGCATATATTATGATGATGATGTCTTTGCCTAAGACTCATTGAATCTCAGGAAAGGCTAAGTTTTGCAAGCTGGTAATGGCCAGTCTTGAAGGGAGATATTATTACAATCTCTAAGTAGGTTTTTATGGAGAATATTATATTTGAATGATTATAATTGTATATGCAGGTTGACTAATGTAAATGATGAACGACATTTGAAACTGGTAATTTAATTATACGTGCTTTGTAATTTTGATATGTGATTCAAGTGATCCATGGTACACATATACCTAAATACATTCTTTAAACCTGAACTTCGCTGTTGTCTTTTATGAATGAAAAACTTATAATTTAACGCGTATATGAAAAACTTATAATTTAACGCGCAATCTTATTTCCAAAAAGGCCTTCAATAAACATTAAAATTAGACATATCAAACGAAATTATATAAGATCATAACATTCAGTACATCTAATCCAATAATTAAAGAAGGCAGATATAATATTATACATAATACATTCATATTGTCTTTAATCAAATTCAATTCATTGATGGGTGGGTGGGTGGTTGGATGATCACTACGTGTAAAGTGTTTGTCGCAATTCATTTTAGCGAGAATAATGAACCTTTATTTAAATTGATTTGAAAAAACATAAGTTTCCTGGCTATTCTTGGTTGAATTAAAAAAGATATGTATTTATGTTACAGGCATTTTCAAGTTTTATATTCTCTAAGGTTTTCTTATTATATTCATTTCTAAATGATTTTTTCCTCTGACGGAGAAAAAATGAGAAATTTCAAAATAGAGCCGCGTCATGACAAAACCAACGTAATGCGTTTGCGACCAGCATGGATCCAGACCAGCCTGCGCATCCGCGCAGTCTGTTCAGGATCTATGCTGTTCGCTTATCAACCCTATTACAATGAGAGAACACATAAAACTATACATTGGATAAAGGAGAATGAGTGACAATTACATGTATATTGTACCCGTAAAATAAAATAAAGATGTGACTAGATTCTTAATAATAACAAAATCTTCTAGGAGTCTAATGATACAGTACTATACTTATAATTTGCATGTTGTAATTATTTCTTTACAAAACAAAGCAAGGTTTTTTTAAAATATGATTTGTTTTTAGTATTCATAAGATCTTCAAGATTTAAGTTTCGGTTTCAGTTTTTATTAAACTAAGGCATATAATAAAAAAATGATGCAACTGGTTATAACAAACAAACAAACAGAAAAAATAGCAGTCAAAACTCACTAATATCACAATAAAAGAATACAATTATGACTAGCTAAATAAACAAAAAAAGGAGATCATATTGTTCATTTCAATTACTGAATTCAACACAACATGTATTTTTCATTGTAACAAATTGGAACGAGAATGAGAAGTATTGATTATCTAAATTTTAACATAATCTAATTTTTAACATAATATTTTTACAAAAAAAGATAGTTTAAGTAGGTTTTTTATCACAACTATTCATTAATATGTCAAGTTTTGTATAAATATAAAGATACATGTAGAACAAAAAATGTGATCAAATGTTAAAAATTTAATTATAAAATGCAGCTAAAGCGATAATGAAACAATTTCGATATGATATAAAATATAAGCCGCGTCACGACAATACCAACATAGTGCGTTTGCTACCAGCATGGATCCTGACCAGCCTGCGCATCCGCGCAGTCTGATCAGGATCCAAGCTGTTCGCTATCAGTTTCTTTACTTGTAATAGGGTTGGTAAGCGAACTAGACTGGTTTGATTTTGGGAAAATGTTCATCCTAACGGCATTTTTTAGTACAAGCAGGTAGTTGGGCTTACTTACCTATTTCGAGTACGCTGAATTCATTTTTTGCTCTACCACGGCTGTATTTTTAGTCCTTGCACGACATGATATTTAAAAAAAAGTCTTAGTATTTCCAAAAGTAATAAAGGAATCGCCATCCAGGCTGGCATTCGAAAAATATATTCTTTTTTCATGAAATAGACTACTTTCCTGAATAATAGAGTTAATGTTTCTTCTTGTAAGAGAAATATTTCATATGGTATTTATCCCATGGAAGCCCATACATACTAGTGCCGAGCTTCGTGCATGAGGATAGTATTTCATTTGCTTATATAGGTAACCCGACAAGAACATGGTGGTTGAGGCCCCCGTGTTAGGACTTTTGTCGTCTATTTTTTTATCATGTGGTATCAAATTATCTGTTTTGATTGACCTAGTGCAGTCGGTGTACGGGTAAAAATATTTAAATCTTGTTAATTGTATATGCCGCCGTCCTGGAACGACAATAACTGCGTAAATGTGTAATTTGAAAAGGTCGTGTTTATGTCTACAGTTAAGCTTCTATATCATGATATAAACGTGACAAGATGGTTGTGTCCGATCTATAACTTTCTCATTAATTGAGTATTTGAGAAGTTAGCAGTGAACAGTGAGCTAAGCAAAAAGGCATTTCAATTGATATAGGGAAGGTAATGATCTGCTGTAATGCTCAGCTGTTTTGGGCAACTAGCAGGGCATTTCTAAATATAGTGTAAAAATGCTCTGCTGCAATACTCAGCTGTCTTGGCAATCTAGCAGAGCATTCCTAGTTTTAGTGAAAAAATGCTCTGCTGGAACGCTCAGCTGGCTAGGCAATCTAGCAGTGCATTACTAAATTTAGTGTTAAAATGCTCTGCTGGAATGCTTAGCTGGCTAGCTAAGCTGGCTAGGCAATCTAGCAGGGCATTACTAAATATAGTGAGAAAATGCTCTGCTGGAATGCTAAGCTGGCTAGGCAATCTAGCAGGGCATTACTAAATATAGTGTAAAAATGCTCTGCTGGAATGCTAAGCTGGGTAGGCAATCTAGCAGGACATTACTAAATATAGTGTACAAATGCTCTTCTGGAATGCTAAGCTGGCTAGGCAATCTAGCAGGGCATTACTAAATATAGTGTAAAAATGCTCCTGCTGGAATGCTAAGCTTGCTAGGCAATCTAGCAGGGCATTCCTAAATATAGTGAAAAAATGCTCTGCTG